TATACATTAGTTTATATATAAATATAATTATATATAATATATATATATATATATATATGATTATATGTACATATATATATATATATAATTATATATCTGTATGTTTTTGTTATTATTGTATTGTATAGTCATTTTTATATAATATTATATTTTATCATTTTTATATATTATATTATTGTTATTATTTGATATATATGATTTTAAATTGTTTTTTAGTATGTTATATTCTTGTGTTTGTATATATACCTTTTGTATTTGGTTACATTTGTGCATATGTTTTTTTAATTTGTGTATATTCCTTGTTGAGTAGCAAGGTGCGACAACCCTGTGCTCACTTTCATTCGAACCTAGAAAACAAGATTGATAAATAGCGTACTAATACCTAGCTGAACGCCGTCCCACTTCATGTTATGCACTGTTGCAGATTCGGGAAGAAAGTTCCAACGACGAAGCGGCTGAGAGCGGTATATCGGCACCTGTTCGGCCGTTTTGTGTAGATAAATATATAGCTCAGCTGACTACGAAACACAATCTCGGTAGGTCCTTATATTTACTCGTTTGTGATACGATACATTTGCCAGTGTGGTGCGTACGCGTCTGCTTATCTGTAGCCTGTGCGTGTCTACATCGTAGTAGCGCGATGGGTTTATCTTAGCCAGCACTCTCGCAACAGTACTTTCTGTTCGATCCGGTGGCAAAGCCCAAGTTTTGACAGATGACTCTCATTGCTGTAGATCCGTTCTGGTGTGTGTTTTGATTAATCACTCTCTTGTTGGTGTACATGCAGTGTGGTGCAGTGCAGTGCCACCTTGTGTGGATAGTTGCAGCAGGGTGATGTGTAGGTATCTACAGTGCGCAATCAGGTACCAATCTAAATAGACTTTTTGATATGATGTACACAAACACCGAGAAGCTTCATGATGGTCTCATGTGTGTTGATCTACCACGCACACTCTCTTGTAGTATATATATATATATATATATATAATATATACAATATACATTTATATATATATGGATATAAAAAAGATATATATCTCAACTCATAAGCAGTTATCGCACTCGGTCGGACGGTTTGTATGTCACAACACTTTCTACTAGTGACATCCATCGACTTATTTAAACGATTTTGTCCTACTCTGCTGTATGATTATATATCACGCACAGGGCGGTATATAGTGTACGCGCCCAGATGTGAATCAACACACACACTGTGTCTAGATGACTACCCGAAGTTATCGATCGGCTCCGTTGTTGTTGCTGATAAGCAAGGTGCCTCCAAGGGAAGGGGGACAAATGTATGGGACTCGCCGCCGGGACAATTAGCCTTCTCATTTAAGGTTTGTGCGCATGTTTACACGCACTCAACTCATGAATATGTGTATCTACATGTCTACTATATATATATATTATGTATTTATGTATTTATGTATTTATGTATGTATATATATATATATATATATATGTGTGTGTGTGTGTAGTATGTATGCATATATATATATATATATATATATATATATATATATATATATAATAATAAATATAAATGTATATATATATACATATATATATATATATAATAATATAGTATATATATATATGTGTGTGTATGTATAATAATATATATATTATATATATATATATATATATATATATATATGAGAACATTCTCAGTTGAATTCCCTACACGTCTTGATCCTTATTTTTATTTGTTTGGCAGGTATGGAATTTAGGTTTGTTGTTGTAAAATCGCACTGCTCTGTATCTTCCCATTTAGTTTTAAAGGCTTTTTGTAAATTATGTATTTGTCTACTTTATAGGCTTAGATTCTGGAAAGCAGATGTACGATATAGAACAACTTGCTTCCTTCTTCACTCAAAAGTATCTTAATTTATCCGAGTATCGTCTGCAACCTAACCGTATATGCAGTACACACATGGCTCATTCTCTAAACGCATCCGATATATTTTCCATCACAATGCAGATAATGATCAAGCATCCTTCGCAACTTGTATGTATGCAATATCTGGTTTCCCTGGCGGTGGTGAAGGCCTGTGAGGTGTATATGCCTGAGAGATCAGTGAGGCTGAAATGGCCGAACGGTATGATGTGTTGTCTGAACTTTTGACTGTATTTTTACATATGGCACTAACCTTGAAAGCAAGCCAGGCTCTTTGTCTGTTGAAATTCTTATCTGTAAGTGCTACTTCCAGTCTTTTGGTGGTAGAAGGAATTTTATACTCGTTCACCACCAGAACTAATCCTTTTCAGGACGCACTGTCCAGCTCTGGTACAGCAGCGGTTTTAATATGCGTTTCCGTTTACGCTTTTAGAACACTCGCTTATGGAAAACTCTTATCAAACTGACAATCCATTCTGAACTGTCAGATGAAAGTGCATAGACAACGCTTGTATTGAACCCTTTTTCTATTAATTTGTTCACTTCTTCTTCAGATATATACACAAATGATAAGGTGAAGATAGGGGGCATCCTATGCAATTCTGTGTACAACTCTGAAAAGTATGTGCGATGTGGACAGGCACTTGTCTGAGATCTAATATCCTTCGTTTACCTGCTGCTTCGAATCGTGTGTACTGTGTGAGACCATTCTGATTGTGCATGAGATGTACTTATTACTCCAACAGTATGAGACAGTCAACCTTCAGCGCTGCCCCTCATATTTGGGTTGGGATTTGGATTGCTTAGCCTACGTTACAACCACGTCTACACTATACCTTGTTAGTCAAATATGGTTGAATTCTAATAGATGGGTTTGAATCCCCTTATGCTTAACTTTAGGAAGGAGTTTGAGATTGTCTGCGGCGTCGGGCTCAATGTCTTCAACGACCAGCCGACCACATGTCTGGCATCAATGATGTCACATATATCAGGTATAGTTTAAAGTACTATTCACACACGTGTCGTCTGTGTCGTAACGTTACCTGTCCATCGACCAATGTCTCGAGGAACCGACCGATCTCGTGCTTTTTATCTATAAACCCTTCGTGTGAGTGTTCGGTGCTACACATCATATTTCTGTACCCGCAATTATAGGGCTTCAATCGCCGATGGATCTGTTGGATGCGCTTAGACCTCAGACACGTGTTAACATCGCTACTCGCCGTTTTATTCTGTTTGTAGACTTAGACCAGGGCAGCTTCCCTCCGCTGGAAAGGGAGGGACTCCTCGCGCACTTCATGAACATATTCGAACGAGATTTGGAGCTGTACCGCGTCAGAGATTTCCAACCGTTCTTGCCCGACTATCTGAAGGTTACATTGAGTCTTCTGTGATGCTTTGTCCTTATAGTTGTCTGTAGTTAGCACTCTCGGGAGTGCGTTTGTGCTGCCTCGCTTAGCTCTCTCGGGATTCAAGTTTTATTCCTTTCTAGGCAGTTGTTGAGTGTGTGCGTCACAGTTCTACTGATCACATCAGCGTAGATGATATATCTTTATCTGAATACAGAAAGTTTGGCGCGTGCACACTTTGCTTGAGACATACATGCTTGTGCCCGTTTGGGATGCTCTATCACACGTACACACCCCTAAAACCACCCCTGTGAGCTACAAACCTGGCATGCACCCGAGTTCGTGCAGGCATCCCAACTAGGAAGACGCAGAAGCTCATAGTTTATGATACTTGTTAAACAGAAATGGCTACATTCCGACGAGCGGCTGACATTGCAAGCGGACGGATTGACAGTCACTGTGAAGGTGTGTGGGGAAAGGAGAGAGTGGGAATTCTCTACGGCACCGATTGGTCTTTGATATCGATCACATGATCACCAACCTCATCGGACTTGGCATACATGTCTGAAATTATGATATGTACATGTATTGTGTATCCCAACATGCGGATATGTGATGAGACTCTGGATGTGCTCTTGCTTGTCTCCCATTTTATGTTTTCAAGATTACGGTGTGATGTGCATTCATTGTTCATGCCAATATGTCAGTATGTGACGAGGTCGGATACTTTGAATGTGGCAGTATTCGTATCCGGTTGTTCCTTCTACCTGACGTGTCTTCTTTGTTGAAGTTGCTGGCAAGGTGCAGTTTTCGGTTCAAATTGTATGGAAAACAATTATCACCGACTTATACCTCATGTTGTACTTGTTGTGCTACTATCTTCGTATACACCTTATTTTCCATTGAATAGTTATCAGTTCCTACCGTTTTTCCGTATCTGCATCACTACTGTATTGGTAACATCTGTTCATACCTACACAATCATCAGGGTTTGACCAGTGAAGGATATCTGTTAGCGGAAGATAGTGACGGGGACCCCTGTGAGCTACATCCTGATTATAATAGCCTAGATCTCTACCAAGGTCTATTGAAGAAGAAAATCCGGTAACCATATAGCTCGATATTAAACTTAGTCATAAATCGAGATGATATCTCTGCCATCAACTATGAGCAGCTGTTTAGTCATCGGCTCAAAGAGTGGCTTTCGGTTGGACAAGCTGTGTGACTCGTTAATAGATATCATCTTATCCACTCGTAACTCCGGATTTAGATCAGTACGAGACATCAGGTGGCAGTGTCTTCAAGATAGTGTTAGGTTTAGTGCAGAGTTTCTCAGTACGAGATACTAGGTAGCAGTGTCTTCAAGATAGTGTTAGGTTTAGTGCAGAGTCTCTTACCTTCACGACGGAAGTCTAGTGAATGGTAGTGTTTGAGCCTTGATTTATAGTAGCGCCATTACGCAACAGAGAAAGAAGGGTTAGATACATGCCTTTGAATAGCAGACGCTGAAGACATCATCAGACAGTACTGTTAAAGGTACGGTGACCATTTGCATCTCCAACCTGTACATAATGATGACGGAGTGGTAGGACGCAGGGCATTTCGAGCATTTACCTCGAACGCATTTACATTATAAACGCGAAGAAGAATACCTTTCTGTATTTGGTATAGCAATAGCCACATCAGCTGCATTTGAGTGCATGCCGGCGGAGTGCCCTTCGGTACACTCAGTGGTGTTGTTACGTTAGATTCTGTAAAGGCTTACCTAATTAGATAGTATTAAAATGCAAACTATATGCTAACTAAATCCAGATGCTCGCCAATCCTTGACTCGGACACTTGCAATATCACTATAAATATAGTCTAGTATGAGCTGACGTTAGGTTTCCCATAACGTTATATTGCCCGAAGATCACTGGAGTACCCGACTGATACATACAAACGCACCTCATGTACATTCGTGAAACAAGGAAGTGGTCCCAATCTTGTCGGCCCACATCGCACATTCCAAAAGTCCTCAAAGGCCACTACAAAATGAATCTTTCTCAATAAATATGAGCGAAACAAGCACATGTTCGATAAATATTATATCCGCCTGTTGATGGTTATTATACGTGCCTGTTGATAGTAATTATACATGTCTGTTGATAGTTATTATACATGCCGATGATAAGTGTTATACACGCCCGATGATAGTTATTGTACATATCTGTTGATAGTTATTATACATGTCTGTTGATAGTTAGTATACGTGCCTGTTAATAATTCTTATATACGTCTGTTTATAGTTATTATACGTGCCGATGACAGTTATTATACACGTCTGATAATAGTTGTTGTACATATCTATTGATAGTTATTATTCGTGCCTGTTGATAGTTATTATACATGTCTGTTGATAGTTATTATACATGCCGATGACAGTTATTATACACGTCTGATGATTGTTATTGTACATATCTGTTGATAATTAATATACATGTCTGTTGATAGTTATTATACGTGCCTGATTATAATTATTATACACGTCTGTTTATAGTTATTATATATGCCGATGATTGTTATTATACACGCCTACAATTATTGTTCACGTCTGTTTATAGATATTATACATGCCGATGATAGTTTTTATACACCCTGATGATAGTTATCATACATGTCTGTTGATAATTATTATATGTTGATAGCTATAGACCCCAGAGATTGATCATCTTTATGCCCAAAGACTTTGTCTCTATAGCTTCATTTGCAGAGTGCTTATTGATGATTCGCCTTGGAGTGTTACAATATCATCCGAAGCGGTTGCTCTGAAAGCCCACGCTTTGTAATTTTGGTACTTAAGATAAGATGCTTCTGTAGCACTAGGTATATACATATATACTGTACTGTTCAAAGTAGTCCGTGGTAGCCACGAGTACACCTGCGGCATATCAACGGCTACCACAACACACAAAGTCTGCAACAATCCACTTTGCAGCTACAATCCTATATTTAAGGCCATCTGTCGATTTTGCGTATCCGATCAGAGCCGATGAATGCTACAGAGGCGCGTAAGTGGTCCTCTTTGAATCCAATTTAATTCCTAAGTGTGCTCAGCGACGAGTGCATCACTTGAAGGTTTGTCTGCGCAGTACACCCATTAAGAAGTGTAGCTCATCTTCGTGATCCTTTGCACTAGAACGAACTAGCTTCATCCGGTAGGTCAAGGTGATATAAGATTCGTGAAAATTGTGATGATGACCCAAACGGAACAACACGGACCCAAATATCAATCTATGATACGCATCCTACTTCAAACACTCATATTCCCTTGTACACGTGAATCAAAAATCCCTCTACTATGTCTTTATTTATTGTGAGTTTGGCTTGGCACTCTTGTTAGTGCGAGTGCGCCTTGCATTCGTTCATGCTTTCCTCAATTACGTTACTTCCAATTCATTTGCTAGTATTTCCGACCACATTTGGGTTTGTCTACCTGAATACCATCTTGCGTCTTTTGATGCATTTTCGCTCAAAGCGCACCAGCTGCTCCCTGAACCCACTGCAGTGAGGCAACGAAGGAGACACGTAAGTTGTATTTCTCGAGTATGTACACGATCAAGACACATTGATGGTTGACGGGGTACACTGAACAAACAGCCAAATTCGCGTATTGGGGGAGGTTGTATAGCAAGTACGTACGTATGCGCGATAGAACGCGTAAACAAGATTTGACTATCAAATCGAGGTATATAGTATACGGTGTCGGCTCGTCTCGACCTTCAGAAGACATCATTGAGGTACTTTCAACAACCAAAGGGTCAGAGAACAACAACATGGTACGAAATTTCAGTACGAATCAACATATACAGAAGCAACTGCGAATCCATGAATTACTCAAGCGTCGCGACAAGCCCGCAGACGAAGAGAAAACAATCTGCAGCACCACTGTGCTGAACAAAACTACACTCCACAGCTAGTGGCAAAGGTTTTCCGTGCAGTACTACGCCTGACATTCGACATTGTATGCTCCATACTATGATACTATCAACGCACCCAGACATACACGACCACTTACGAGGCCAGACAGTGCGCACGCTCAGCACAGGAGCTGTAACGGTTGCAGCTCCTGTCATTCACTACGTGCGTGTTAAGCTCGTTCACAACATGAATACACCACATATGGGACAGCGGTGTAAATATCACAAATGAGTACAGCGAAACACAGACCAGCCTCGCAAAGGTATATATTAAGGGGCTGGCGCGTGTCAGGTACATGCATGTACATTAAACGTACATATATACGCCTGAGTGTGTGTATATGTAGGTATATCTCTGTATCCATACAACTAGGGCCCACCTATTTGGATTGACGACATTACGTCTGCCTTTCACGTAGACCAGCGCGTCGTCCAATGTCCACTTCAAGTCTCTTATGCAGTAGGCGATGACCGCCGTTGCTGATCGACTGACACCCATCTGAATAGAACGATTAATTACAAAGCGTATGCAAGATGTATGAGAGGAAAACGTTCTGAATAAAAAATTACGAAGCGTATACAAGATGTACGAGAGGAGAACGTGCTAGTGCTAGGTGGGTAGGATGGGACATGCAACCTACACAGGGAATATCTGTGCCAGATGCTTTATAAGTGATGCTATAGGAGAGATTGTATTGTGCACAGATGTGTGTCGCGGTGCTCCGGCTGACACCCATCGATCTGAAGAATAGCTTTGATGGGTATAAAGCGACGTATGTCGTACATAAAAGTACACACAGCAGAGACTCTGAGAATTCTGGTCCCACTTTTCTCGTCAACCATCTGCAGTAAATACTAGAATACTGTTGCGACGCGGAATTCTGTACAAGCCAATCAAAGTGATTCTAATACGCTCGAGGTATAAAGTACTGGAACAATTGTATGCGTTCGCACCACATGGTATCGTCTGATGAGCAGTTTCTGTAGATTATACGAAGAAGTCGGCACTATGTCGAACAATACTACCCAATACACAATAATGAATAGACTAGCCTCTACATAGTACAAGTGTTCGTTGAGGTAATTGCATGTATGCATATTTTGTGTTGGGCATGTATAAGACCCAACCCTCGTCCATTCGCACAAACATACACGTGTCCACCTTTGATGACCATGTTT